TATTTTAGATTTTTTATATTTAAAATGAGATGTTTATCCTGTATTTGATTGTGTTTATCTGCAGTTAGTTACACAAATTCATATATGGGATGAAATTCGACAGGAATTAACGGGTTTAAGAGTTTTAAGAGTCTTAGCCAAATGTTTTATAATATAGTATATATATATATATATATATATATATATATATATATATATAGTATAGATGGATCCCTCTCACATACATTAGAGATGTATAAAAAAAAAGTCGAAGTGGTTGCACCAACTCAACTATCATAATATAAAAAAAATTAATTAAAAACAAAAATATGTTAAAAAAATAATCGACTTGACTTCAAAGGCTGATATGTGTTATTGTAATAGCTTTTCACATTGCCGATTTTATTTTTGGAGACCCGTGTTTCAAAAAGAATCAAAACAATTTAAAATATCTAGTCATTTGTGTACAGACATATACATGATCAAAAGGTAATTAGTAGTATATAATCTTAGAAACATATATTTCAAAAAAAAAATGATTCGTAATAAAATAAAAATCACGTATTTTGTTGTATTAGTGAAATATTTCTAAATTTTATATAGAGTATATTCGTTTTATAATCGGGTTGTTCCTAAGGACCCAGTTATCTGATCCAGAACTCAACCCAGCATTGATCACATTTTAGTACGCATTGTTACTTAGGGCACAAAAAGTTGGCTACTCCAAGCAATCCATCGATATTTACCTATATAAATACTATCCCAAAGTTGTTGTCGTCAGTGACATTAGGGTGTCTGGTTAGCAGAGGCGCCATCGTCGTCCTTACGTTCTCCTTTCATGTTTGATGAGTTTTGTGCTTGAATTTCCAATAATTGTTTGTATTGTCTTGTGTTCAAACTCATGTTTCCTGTGTTTTGTTTCAATTTGCATCCATAGTTAACATCGAAATATCGTTTGATAACTGGATTATTTCTTGCAATCCATGTGTTATTTGATTCGAATATGGAAACATATGCGATCTTGATTCTTCCTTCTATTTGGATCAGTTAGATTCTTTTTGTATTCATGATGGAGCATTCATAATCTTATCTTATCGTATTTGAAACTTTTTTTGTTTTGAAAGTATTAGATCTAAAATTCAGTTCCTAAAAGATGTGCTTCCTGATTTGAAGGATGAATTAATGGAACTGTTGATTCATTTCCTGGCTTAAACATTCAATAGATTGTTATGTTGATCAGATTTTCATTACCGGGGATTTGCATTCCTACAACATTTTTTATGAATGTTCTTATTGAAAACAGTGCATCATGATTTGCATCCCTTTTTAATGCAAATTGTGTTTTTGGAATCTTCTTTGTTGTTATAGCACCCCAACGATGAAATTTATGAAACGTTAAAAGTAGTGGACCGATTCGTTGATGAATGGTTCATTCGGAGGGGTTGTTGTTGCAGTCAGACTATAGTTTTGTTCAAAAAAGAATTGAACTGGATTATTTTGATTCTGTTCCAGTATTTTGTTATCAATGATTCATGTTGGAACTTAGAGGGTAGTGTTTTAGTTCCTGTTGATGAACTTATGCAAATTGAAATGTTAAAAGTAGTGAAGTAATAACTATTCATTGATGAATAATCTGTTCTGAAGGGAAGAGATCGATGACACTGTAGTCTTGTTTTAAATTATTCAAATGAGTTTTTAGCTTTTATCTGTTACAAATTTTGAAGTTTTTATTACACTTTCATTGCTAAGCTGTTTTTTGTATTGTGCTTGAAAATGAGAATGTTGTTACACTATTACAAATGCATTGAACACTTGATTGATGCAGATGAAATATTTGTGATTAGAATATATGGTAAACATCTGTATTCTAGACAATGGTTATTTTAAACAAAGTCGCTTATGTGTTTCAAGCAGTGATCAACTGATCACACTATAAAACTTCTCCACAATTCGAAACTCTACTAAAACAACTGCAAATAACAACAAATAAGATTCAGTGCTAAACGTTCGTCAATATAAATAAACAGACACAATATATCACTTTTCAGAGGTAGAATTTGGGAAATGTACAGAGACCTTTTGTTTGTTTCAAGAGACAAAGACACTGTTTTCGAGAAGACAATCAGTTTGTGAAAAAATAATAATAGAATGTTTATACAGCATAGCTATAACCCATGGTTTTGCATTAGTAACAGAATTTATTTATCTTTCATACTTGTTATTGAATGACAATATGAGAAAATGGAAAGAGCCTGCCTAACGAAAAAAAAAACACTTCTCCTCCCCCCCTCCCCGCCCCGCCCCGCCCCGCCCCGCCCCCAAGAAAAGTATTTCATCATATAACGTAATTGATAGGCTCATGTAACATCTCAAATCATATAGTGTATCATGTCTCAATTCAATGTTTTTTATCTTAGCAATAAAATCAGTGTTAGATGAATGTATTATGAAACAACAGCGAAATATACACGTGTATACCATCTATATGGCTTGGTCTTTCGACTTTGCCAAAGCACGCACACCCCATTTATCATATGCATAAATGCATATAAAAAAACATGTATGCACAATATTCTGCCATTTTTTTTTTTTGCAAAAGGAGTACGATTATCATTCATTTGGTCATGGTTATATTCTCAACCAAAATTTGTATACACGAGGCGAATTATCCAAGGCGTTGTTATTTTGGTCTTAGTTGAATATTTGTACATCATACTAGGATTAATGATCGATAACAAAAAAAAAAACAGAAACAATAAACAACATATATGATAATAGTTTTATTATGATATTATATCTTGATATTTTAAAGAATATTCAGGCTTCATCAAAATGAAGACCGTCAACAACCAAGGTAATTAAACTACGTCGATGTTGGTCACCCCTGGAGGGAGATCGTCGATCCAGACAGTGAAGTCATCGACTTCCATTCCATACCTAGCTACAGATGTTGCTAGTTGGTTGTTATCACGACTAACATAATAAACAAAAACATCATAATCTCTTGGACATAGGTTTTTGCGTCCCACACGAACGTTGGCAATAGGTGATTTTTCCCAATCTATAGATCGCAGTTTGTCAACCACATGTAAGTAATCTGACTCCAATATGATTAGTCGAAAGCCCATGCTAAAAGCAAATAGCAAACTTTCGTATGCTGTTTTTTCCTGAGCTTCCATGATGGAAAAACCATCATCCAGGTCTAAGATATCAGCAAAAGATCCGAGCACATCCCCTGCGTCATCCCTAATAACACACCCGATGAATGTCCCGATAGAACGGATTCGAGACAGGTGACAGTTCACTTTCACCCATCCTCTTGGAGGAGCAACCCAACTCGCCTCTTGAAAATCTTGTGGGCCGATCATTCTGACATCTGAGTGTCGATTCCGAAACTCACATAACTCGGTCAACACCTTTTCAACAAGATTTACAGGATCATAACCTTGTTTCCGTTGGCAACGTAAGTTCCTATTAAACCATAGACCCCACGCCACCATGGCCCACAATGCCAACGTATCATCATCCCACACATCGCATAGAACCGACACCGACTCGCTCAAAGAGCCAAAGATGATATCATCCACCCGAAGGCTTAATGGGGATGCAAACCACACAGCTCTTGCATATTCACACTTCAAAAGAGTGTGAGTGATATCATCATCCCTACCATCAAATCCAAAACAAGACTTATCCTCAGGCATCACTGTTCTTCGGATATATTTGTACTCAGGAAGCAAGTCATCACAGATTCTCCAAACTAAATGTTTCGCTTTAGAAGGGACATCAAGAGACCATACCTTATTCCACAACGACATCCTTCCTCTATCACAAATCTGATCAATCTCCCTGGATCTGAAATCACATACTACCATATAAGTCGACCATACAAAAATATTACCGTTGCTACTAATAAATTTTCGTAAAACGGATCCATATTTATTTATTTACTTATATAATCATTAATTGCTTCGACCGCATATTACGAAATAAATTTAAAAATTTTCCTATTATTTTGTAATTATAATATATTTCATTTAAAATTTATGTAATAAATATAAGAAATAAAATAATTTCATATTCATATATACTATATTACAAAGCATTTGAAAAAAAAAATTAAAAACCATTTTTTATGCATAAAGTACCGTTTATTGATGCATGTTACTTAAAATTCAAGATCACAAGTAAATTGTACGTAAGTACAACTTATTAAAGCTTCAAAAATAAAAACATTATCGTTTTCTCAAAATCAATAAAAAACCGTATTATATCGACAAAACCAGATAATAAAACAAAACATTAAAATTGAAATAAATATCGTTGAATTACACAAACACCCTTCTAGTTTTCTTTTAAATCTAATTCCACACCTTCTACTTAAAATTTTAAATTTTATAAGCATACCCCTACTCCTCTTGTAACTAGTAAACCAATAATTATTTAGCTATGAATATTTTCACCATTATTCTTGGATTTGTTGTAAATGGCCTCAATTGAAAAGTTTGACTGCCTTCTTTGACTCTTTTCAAAATTTGTGACATATTTGAAACTATTGGTAAAGTGGAGTGGCTTATGATATTATTTTCCGTATATTTATTATGAAAATCTGTACTGTATTATAAAGTATTTGACAAAAAAAATTACTAGTTTTTATGTATGAAATATTGTTAATTAAAACATATTACTTAAAATTCAAGATTACAGGTAAATTGTACATAAATATAACTTATTAAAGCTTCATTTTTGAATTTGTGTAACTAACTGTAGGTAAACATAATCACATACAAGATAAACAAATCCTTTTAAGTATAAAAACTCTAAATGTAATTAGGATAATTATTGACTTCAAACAGACTATTTATTTATTATCTTTATAAAATATTATATTATTAAATCAAATATAAATTTACTTCATTATTAATCGTAAATTAAATTATAATAAAAAATTGAATTAAAAAAATATAAAAAAAGAGAATTTTTAAATAGTTAATTTGATATTAATATCGATACTTTTTTAAAGTTTTATGATATCTTTAAATTTATATTTTATTCAAAAATAAAAACATTATTTTTTTCTCAAAACCATGTAAAACCGTATGATATCGACATGAACAAATAATATAATAAAATATTAAAATCAAAATATATCTCGCTGCATTATACGAGCATCCTTCTAGTGATAATTAATTTGTATTTTCAAGATCCCTTTTGTCTATATAAAAAGACTTTATCACTATTTTTGCCATCAAACCTGTTGTTAGAGTAAATTACATTTTTAGTCCTTATACTTTTAAAGTTATGATTTTTACTTATATAGTTAAAAATTTCTTTTATTTCTATTCTTATGATTTACAATTTATCGTCATTTTTGTCCTTACACTTTATAATTCATTGTTGTTTCGTCTCTCATCTAAAAGTAGGAGTCAACTTCATAGATGAAAATAACAATGAATTACAAACCACATGAATGAAATCATATTTTCGAAAGCGTGGGGATAAAAGTTGTAATCTTTAACAAACCATAAGGACTAAAAACATAATCTACTCTTTTTGTTATTCTATAACAAGACAAATGTAGTTATATATGGAAAAACAATAAATTTATCATACTCTATATTATTTTATAAAACATTTTTAAAAAGAAATCAAAAGGTTTGCTTTGAAAGGATTGCAATCAAATGCAATTTAAGTATTTTTTTTTTAAATTATTATTATTATTATTTTGTTATAAAATATAAAATATGAATTAAATATTTAATTTGTTATATTTAATGAGTAATGATTCTTTAAAAAAACCATGAATTTAAATTTCTCTTCATAT